CTTGGGGGCGGGGCTCAATGTTAGCTTCCGGTTCAGGGAGATGAGGGGGAGGAGTGGGAGGAGGGGTTAGGGGTGGTAGAGGGGAACGGAGGGGCGGGAGGAGGGGAGTGGGAGGAGCGAGATGGCCGCCGTCACCACGCACCCTCCCTTAGCAAGATGGCTGCATTTACCACAAACCCTCCCTCAGCAAGATGGCCGCATTTAGCACACACCCTACCTCAGTAAGATGGCCGCATTTACCACACACCCTCCCTTAGCGAGATGGCCGCATTTACCACACACTCTCCCTTGGCAAGATGGCCGCATTTACCACACACCCTCCCTCGGAAAGATGGCCGCATTTACCACACACCCTCCCTCGGAAAGATGGCCGCATTTACCACACACCCTCCCTTGGCAAGATGGCCGCTTTTACCACACACCCTCCCTTAGCAAGATGGCCGCATTTACCACACACCTTCCCTTAGCGAGATGGCCTCATGTCCCACACACCCTCCCTGAGCAAGATGGCCGCATTTACCACACACCTTCCCTTAGCGAGATGGCCTCATGTACCACACACCCTCCCTCAACAAGATGGCCGCATTTACCACACACCTTCCCTTAGCGAGATGGCAGCATTTACCACACACCGTCCCTTAGCAAGATGGCCGCATTTACCACACACTCTCCCTCGGCAAGATGGCCGCATTTACCACACCCTCCCTCGGAAAGATGGCCGCTTTAACCACACACCCTCCCTTAGCAAGATGGCCTCATGAACCACACACCCTCCCTTAGCAAGATGGCCTCATGAACCACACACCCTCACTTAACAAGATGGCCTCATGAACCACACACCCTCCCTTAGCAAGATGGCCTCATGTACCACACACCCTCCCTCAGCAAGATGTCCTCATGTACCACACACCCTCCCTCAGCAAGATGGCCGCATTTACCACACACCCTCCCTTAGCAAGATGGTCGCATTTACCACACACCCTCCCTTGGCGAGATGGTCGCATTTACCACACACTCTCCCTCAGCAAGATGGCCGCATTTACCACATACCTTCCCTTAGCAAGATGGCTGCATTTACAACACACCCTCCCTCAGCGAGATGGCCGCATTCACCACTCACCCTCCCTCAGCGAGATGGCCGCTTTTACCACACACCCTCTCTCAGCGAGATGGCCGCATTTACCACACACCCTCCCGTGGCAAGATGGTCGCATTTATCACACACTCTCCCTCAGCAAGATGGCCGCATTTACCGCACACCTTCCCTTAGCAAGATGGCCGCATTTACCACACTCCCTCCCTCAGCAAGATGGCCGCATTTTACCACGCACCTTCCCTTAGCAAGATGGCCGCTTTTACCACACACCCTCCCTTAGCGAGATGGCCGCATTTACCACACACCCTCCCTTGGCAAGATGGCCGCATTTACCACACACCCTCCCTTGGCAAGATGGCCGCATTTACCACACACCCTCCCTCAGCAAGATGGCCGCATTTACCACAAACCCTCTCTCAGTGAGATGGCCACATTTACCACACAACCTCCCTCAGCAAGATGGCCGCATTTACCACACACAATCCCTTGGCAAGATGGTCGCATTTACCACACACCCTCCCTTGGCGAGATGGTCGCATTTACCACACACTCTCCCTCAGCAAGATGGCCGCATTTACCACATAGCTTCCCTTAGCAAGATGGCCGCATTTACAACACACCCTCCCTCAGCGAGATGGCCGCATTTACCACACACCCTCCCTCAGCAAGATGGCCGCATTTACAACACACCCTCCCTCAGCGAGATGGCCGCATTTACCACACACCCTCCCTCAGCAAGATGGCCGCTTTTACCACACACCCTCTCTCAGCGAGATGGCCGCATTTACCACACACCCTCCCTCAGTAAGATGGTCGCATTTACCACACACCCTCCCGTGGCAAGATGGTCGCATTTATCACACACTCTCCCTCAGCAAAGATGGCCGCATTTACCGCACACCTTCCCTTAGCAAGATGGCCGCATTTACCACACTCCCTCCCTCAGCAAGATGGCCGCATTTACCACGCACCTTCCCTTAGCAAGATGGCCGCTTTTACCACACACCCTCCCTTAGCGAGATGGCCGCATTTACCACACACCCTCCCTTGGCAAGATGGCCGCATTTACCACACACCCTCCCTTGGCAAGATGGCCGCATTTACCACACACCCTCCCTCAGCAAGATGGTCACATTTACCACACACCTTCCCTTAGCAAGATGGCCGCATTTACCACACTCCCTCCCTCAGCAAGATGGCCGCATTTACCACACACCCTCCCTTGGCAAGATGGCCGCATTTACCACACACCCTCCCTCAGCAAGATGGCCGCATTTACCACACACCCTCTCTCAGCGAGATGGCCGCATTTACCACACACCCTCCCTTGGCAAGATGGCCGCATTTACCACACACCTCCCCTTAGCGAGATTGCCTCATGTACCACACACCCTCCCTTAGCAAGATGGCCGCATTTACCACACACCTTCCCTTAGTGAGATGGCCTCATTTACCACACACCCTCCCTCAGCAAGATGGCCGCATTTACCACACACCTTCCCTTAGCGAGATGGCCGCATTTACCACACACCCTCCCTTAGCAAGAAGGCCGCATTTACCACACACCCTCCCTTAGCAAGATGGCCGCATTTATCACACACCCTCCCTCGGCATGATGGCCACATTTACCACACACCCTCCCTTGGCAAGATCGCCGCTTTAACCACACACCCTCCCTTAGCGAGATGGCCGCATTTACCACACAACCTCCCTCAGCAAGATGGCCGCATTTACCACACACAATCCCTTGGCAAGATGGTCGCATTTACCACACACCCTCCCTTAGCAAGATGGCCTCATGAACCACATACCCTCCCTCAGCTAGATGGCCGCATTTACCACACACCCTCCCTTGGCGAGATGGTCGCATTTACCACACACTCTCTCTCAGCGAGATGGCCGCATTTACCACAAACCCTCCCTTAGCAAGATGGCCGCATTTACCAAACACCCTCCCTCAGGAAGATGGCCGCATTTACCACACACCCTCCCTTGGCAAGATGGCCGCTTTTACCACACACTCTCCCCTCAGCAAGATGGCCGCCTCAACAACATAACCTCATTTTTATTTAAAGCGTTCGTGACTGCAGGGATTCATACTCTTGGTCCTTTCGGTAAAGTCACCACCACGTAGAAGGGAAACAATAAAATAATAAATATATAAAACAATAAAATTATTGTAAAAACAATACAATTATTATTCTTGGTTCTTTCGGTAAAGTCACCACGTAGAAGGGAAACAATAAAATAAAAAAAACATAAATCAATTAAATTATTGTAAAAACAATTAGATTGTTATTCTTGGTTCTTTCGGTAAAGTCACCACGTAGAAGGGAAACAATAAAATAATAAAAATATAAAACAATAAAATTATTATTCTTGGTTCTTCCGGTAAAGTCACCACCACGTTGAAGGGAAACAATAAAATAATAAAAATATAAAACAATAAAATTATTATTCGTGGTTCTTTCGGTAAAGTCACCACCATGTAGATAAGGAAACAATAAAATAATAAAAATATAAAACAATCAAATTATTGTAAAACAATAAAATTATTATTCGTGGTTCTTTCGGTAAAGTCCCCACCACGTAGAAGGGAAACAATAAAATAATAAAAATATAAAACAATAAAATTATTGTAAAACAATAAAATTATTATTCTTGGTTCTTCCGGTAAAGTCACCACCACGTAGAAGGGAAACAATAAAATAATAATAAAAATATATAAAACAATAAAATTATTGTAAAACAATAAAATTATTATTCTTGGTCCTTTCGGTAAAGTCACCACCACGTAGAAGGGAAACAATAAAATAATAAAAATATAAAACAATAAAATTATTGTAAAACAATAAAATTATTATTCTTGGTTCTTTCGGTAAAGTCACCACCACGTAGAAGGGAAACAATAAAATAATAAAAATATAAAACAATAAAATTATTATTCTTGGTCCTTTCGGTAAAGTCACCACCACGTAGAAGGGAAACAATAAATAATACAAATATAAAACAATAAAATTATTCTTGGTTCTTTCGGTAAAGTCACCACCACGTTGAAGGGAAACAATAAAATAATAAAAATATAAAGCAATTAAATTATTGTAAAAACAATAAATTGTTATTCTTGGTTCTTTCGGTAAAGTCACCACCACGTAGAAGGGAAACAATAAAATAATAAAAATACAAAATAAAATTATTGTAAAAACAATAAAATTATTATTCTTGGTTCTGTTGGTAAAGTCACCACCACGTAGATAGGGAAACAATAAAATAATAAAAATATAAAACAACAAAATTATTATTCTTGGTTCTTTCGGTAAAGTCACCACCACGTAGATAAGGAAACAATAAAATAATAAAAATATAAAACAATAAAGTTATTGTAAAAACAATAAAATTATTATTCTTGGTTCTTTTGCTAAAGTCACCACCACGTAGAAGGGCAACAATAAAATAATAAATATATAAAACAATAAAATTATTGTTAAAACAATAAAATTATTATTCTTGGTTCTTCCGGAAAAGTCACCACCACGTCGAAGGGAAATAATAAAATAATAAAAATATGCAACAATAAAATTATTGTAAAAACAATAAAATTATTATTCTTGGTTGTTTCGGTAAAGTCACCACGATGAAGGGAAACAATAAAATAATAAAAATATAAAACAATTAAATTATTGTAAAATAATAAAATTATTATTCTTGGTTCTTCCGGTAAAGTCACCACGTTGAAGGGAAACAATAAAATAAAAAAACAATAAAATTCTCACGACGCTTACGACTGCAACACAAAGCAGCAATCATCATCAGGCGTGATGTCCGCTTGTGCTACAGTCGAAAACGTCGTGAGAATTTTATTGTTCAACGCATATATTTTCATTACTTTATTGTTTCCCGCTCC